AATCACGACACCACAAAATCACGACACCACAAAATCACGACACCACAAAATCACGACACCACAAAATCACGACACCACAAAATCACGACACCACAAAATCACGACACCACAAAATCACGACACCACAAAATCACGACACCACAAAATCACGACACCACAAAATCACGACACCACAAAATCACGACACCACAAAATCACGACACCACAAAATCACGACACCACAAAATCACGACACCACAAAATCACGACACCACAAAATCACGACACCACAAAATCACGACACCACAAAATCACGACACCACAAAATCACGACACCACAAAATCACGACACCACAAAATCACGACACCACAAAACCCCGACACCACAAAACCCCGACACCACAAAACCCCGACACCACAAAACCCCGACACCACAAAATCCCGACACCACAAAATCCCGACACCACAAAATCCCGACACCACAAAATCCCGATACCACAAAATCACAATACCACAAAATCACGATACCACAAAATCACGATACCACAAATTCCCGACACCACAAAATTACTATACCACAAAATCCCGATACCACAAAATCACGACCCCACAAAATCACGATACCACAAAATCACTACACCACAAAATCCCGACACCACAAAATCACGACCCCACAAAATCCCGATACCACAAAATCCCGATACCACAAAATCCCAATACCACAAAATCACGATACCACAAAATCACGACCCCACAAAATCACGACGCCACAAAATCCCGATACCACAAAATCACAATACCACAATATCACGATACCATAAAATCCCGATACCACAAAATCCCAATACCACAAAATCACGATACCACAAAATCACGACCCCACAAAATCACGACGCCACAAAATCCCGATACCACAAAATCACAATACCACAATATCACGATACCATAAAATCACGATACCACAAAATCCCAATACCACAAAATCACGATACCACAAAATCACGACCCCACAAAATCACGACGCCACAAAATCCCGATACCACAAAATCACAATACCACAATATCACGATACCATAAAATCACGATACCACAAAATCACATTCCACAAAATCACAATACCACAAAATCGCAATACCACAAAATCATGACACCACAAAATCATGACACCACAAAATCCCGACACCACAAAATCATGACACCACAAAATCCCGACACCACAAAATCGCCCAACCACAAAATCGCCCAACCACAAAATCGCCCAACCACAAAATCGCCCAACCACAAAATCGCCCAACCACAAAATCGCCCAACCACAAAATCGCCCAACCACAAAAAGATGATACCACAACCACAAATACCTTTCGCCAGGTGAGTGTGAAGCCCCGCCTGGTGATCGCCTACCCCGGCACTCAGGAGGACGCGCTGCTGGAGGGCTACATGGCCAGGTACCTCTCTGAGAAGGTCCGGAGCCTCACCCTCGACCTGTACACCGAAGGGACACTCAAGGAGTACTTCGACGCAGCTCTCAAAGGTAGGTGTGGGTGTGGGTGTGTGTGTGGGGGGTGGGGGGTGGGGGGGAGGGTGTAGTGTTTTTTTTTTTTTTTTTTTTTTTTTTTTTTTTTTGTGTGTGTGTGTGTGTGTGTGTGTGTGTGTGTGTGTGTGTGTGTGTGTGTGTGTGCGTGTGCGTGCGTATGTGTGCATTCCTTCACCTGTATATGTGAGTGTATGTGTGCGTTCATTTACCTTCATATATATGTATATGTGTGCGCTCATAAATCTACATGTCTCTGTATCTGTGTACATACAAACAGACTTATACATATAAACGGATATTCCCATAAAGTATATCGTATTCGTCTGTAATCTGTAATCTCTCCCCACTCCAGGCACCGTGGAGTACCGAACGCCGGCCAAAGGAGACAGAGTTTTAACAATCAAGAACTTACACTTTTCCACGCCCCGCCACGCCCTTGGTCTCGAAGCCTCCTTTGCTCTCAGGGACAAGGGTGTAGAAGGCCAAGTGCAGGTCAGTCTGGCTCTTGCAAGGAAGGTGGTATTTCAACGGTTATTGTGGTTTCTAGGATTGACTTTGCGGGTGGGATTCGCCAATGAGAATTCAGTTTTGAAATGTTTCTTGTTTTGTCTGTCTCTTTCTCTCGTTTTCTTCCTTCTCGTCTTCTCTCTGATTCTCTCTCTTTCTTTCTCTCTTTTCTTATCTTCCTTTCTTTCGTTCTTTCTCTCTCCCTCCTACACACCCTTCTTCACTTTGCCCTTCTTCCCTCCTTTCCTCCCTCCCTCCCTTCCCTCCTTCCCTCCCTCCCTCCCTTCCCTCCTTCCCTCTTTCCCTCCCTTCCCTCCTCCCTAACTAAACTTTCCCATTCCCTCAGGTCACTTGGGGAGGCCAGGTGGTGGTCCTTGACGGTAGCGTGCTCAACCTCGGCTCGGGGAAGAACGACCAGCACTTCGAGGTCAACCTTCAGATGCTGTTGCCTGATCATCCGCATCTAGACACGAGGATCAACTGCGTCACGAAAGTCTACGATGCGGAGGTAAATGCGGGATATTTGATTTATTTATTTTTATTTGTTATTGTTATTATTATTATCATTATTACTATCATTCTGTTATCATTATTATTATCATTATCATCATTATTATCATTATCATTATTATCATTATCATTATCATTCTTATAATTATTATCATTATCATTATTATCATTATCATTATTATTATTATTATTATTATTATCATTATTATCATTATCATCATCATTATCATTATCATTATCATTATCATTATTCTTATCATTATCATTATTATTATTATTATTATTATTATTATTATTATTATTATTATTATTATTATTGCAACCTGTTCCTCAGGTGACGAACAACGTGACGATGGTGGTGGGACCCGAAGCGACCCGCAGAGACTTCCAGATCATCCATTCCACGTCCTGGAGATTCACCAAGGCCACGACGCCCATTTATTCTCCCGGGCACGACCAGGACCCCGCCCATTCCCTCAGCCACGCCAACGAGCCCGCCCATTCGCCCGCCCACGCCTACTTATATAGCGGTCTTTCGGCGAGGGTCGTGAACAAACTGGAGGGTGAGTGATGGTGTTACGTAATGGCGTTGGGAGGTTTGGGGGAAAGGGTTTTTGTGCTTTCTGTCCTTTGGTTTTAATGGTTTATTTGTTTGTTTTTGTTTTGTCTTATGGGGGGAGGTTAGTTCTCTCCTTTGTTTTGGAATGTTTGGTTTGGCTTTTATTTTGTTTTATTAATTTCCTCGATCTATGTTTTATTTGGCTGTCGCGTGACTTCACTTCTATTCTCGTTTTATTTTATTTTTTGGCTTTTATTTGACTTTATGGAAATAACCAGCTTCCCTTTTTTTTAATAGCTGGCTACTTGACTGTATTCTCTATTTTTTTTTCTATTTTATTTAGCCTTTAATTGACTTCACGAAAATACCAGTATTTTTCTTGCTCTCTTCTACTGTACTCTCTATTCACTTTTTATTTATTTTTTTTTTTTTTCATTTGAATTTTTATTTGACTTCACTGAAAATAACCAACATTTTTTTTTCTTCTTTTTTCTCCTTTTTTTCCCCCAAACCAGTCACCTCCAGAGCCCTAGACGTGACGTGGAAGTTCGACCACACGCTGCAGCTGACGGAGAGGTCCCTCGAGAACCTCCTGAAGGGGAAGATGGGAGACGAAAACTACAAGATCATGACGAATCTGTATGACCAGACAGAGGACCTCTTCAAGTACCATGCGGAGGTCGAGGTGAGGAAGGAGGAGGAGGAGAAGGAGGAGGAGGAGGAGGAGGAGGAGGAGGAGGAGGTGGATGGGGGAGAGGAGTGGAGAAGGAAGGGGGGAGGAGGATGAAGGTGGAGGAGATGGATGGGTGAGGAGAAGGAAGAGGAGGATATGAGGAAGATGAGGAGGAGGAGGAGGAGGAGGAGGAGGGAGGAAGAGGAGGTGTAGGATGGTGGGTAGTGGAGGAGGGTAGTGGAGGAGGAGGATGGAGAATGAGGGAAAAAGAAGAGGAAGAGGAAGATGGGGTGATGGAGGCAGAGAGGAGGAGGAGGAGGAGGAAAGCGAGGCGAGGGAGATGGAGGAGAAAGAAGGAGAGGGGAGAAGAGAGGAGGATAGGACAAAGGGAAGGATGGAAGTGGAAGAGTAGGGAAAGACCAGGAGGATGAAGAGACTATAACTTTATATATATAACTTTCTATCCACCCCCCCCCCCCCCAGCTGAGCCTCCCTGCGTGGCACTTCAGCTACGTGGACACCCTCCAGCAGCGCTACGAGGGCGACGTGGTGGGCCAGAGCACGACCGTCATGCCTTCCGGGAGAGTCTACAGCTCCTCCTCCAGGTACTTCAAGGGCAAGGACGGCGACCGGCTGGTGTTCGATTTTTCCTACGACATTCTGGTCCGCGATGGAGTCGATACTTGGAAGATTGCGTGAGTGTCGGAGGCGTTCGTTTGTTTTTTTTTGTCTGTTGTTGTTCTTTGTTGTTTTAGGGAAGTTTTTTTTATTTTTGTTTTTTTGTTTTCATTTTAGCGAGTTTTATTTTATTGTTGTAGCGTGTGTGTTCAGGTTAACTTTTTTCTTTCTTTCTTTCTTTTTGATTGCGTGTGTCAAAAAAACTTCATTGCGCCCTCCTTCAACCTCCTTACCCCCTTATTCAACCTCACTACCTCCTCCTCCAACCTCACTACCTCCTCCAACCTCACTACCTCCTCCTCCAACCTCACTACCTCCTCCTCCAACCTCACTACCTCCTCCTCCAACCTCACTACCTCCTCCTCCAACCTCACTACCTCCTCCTCCAACCTCACTACCTCCTCCTTCAACTTCACTACCTCCTCCTCCTCCTCCTCCTCCAGAGCGCGAGAGTCCTTCGAGTGGTCTCCCAGCCTCCTTAGCCTCCACTGCGGCGTCGAGATCGGTGACGTCACGCTCTTCGGCCTCGAGATGACCCTCGACGGCTTGTCCTCGGGGGATGTCGACCTCTTCCTCAAGACGTGGACCAGGAACGTGTACGAGAGCGAGCTATCCCTCAACAGCCTCGGGCCCAAGACGGACATCAATTTCATGGTCTTTGTTATTCCTCTAAATCGGGAAATTAAAAGTAAGGTTAAGTTAAATGGATTTTTCTTTTTTCTTTTTTTCGTTTTTCTTTTTTCTTCTTTTTTCCTTCTTTTTTTTCTTTTTTTCTTTTTCTTTTTTCTTTTTCTTTCTTTCTTTTTCTTTCTTTTTCTTATTTTTTGAGTGGATTATGGATATCAAGATTTTTTTTTAAGTGGAGTTTTAATGATAGGCGTGATGATCTTATTTGGATTTTTATTTCATTTTAATTAATTTATTATTATTTACTTTTTTAGACAAAGTTTGTTCAGATACCTTTCTTTTGAATTAAAGTTATTGCAACGAAAAAAAAATCGTAACTTAAAAACGAATTTTCCAAAATTTAAGGCACATAAATACACTATACGTAACTTTCCTTAATTTTTACACTAATTTCCACCGTCGATTTACCTTAATTTTCACCACCAATTACCTTGTTCCCCGTCGGTTCCCCAAATTTAACCCATCGATTACCTTAATGCCCGTATTTTCCCCAAAAAATTAATCTAATTATACCCCATCGTTTACCTTAAATTTTCCTCCATTGATAACCCAAATTTTCCCCAATCAGTTACCCTAAGTTCCCCCCATCGTTTACCCTAATTTTCCACCATTAATTACCCATATTTTCCCCCATCACTTACCCTGATTTTTCCCCACTAATGACTAATTATCCCCCATCGTTTACCCAAATCCCCCCCCCCATCATCAGTTACCTTAATTTCCCCTCTTCAATTACCCTGATTTTCCCGAATCAGTTACCTTAACTTCCCCCCCACCACCACTTACCCAAATCTCCCCCCCCCCCCATCATTTACCCTCACTGGCCTCTCCTCCCGAAGGCAAAGTCGCCCTCGGCCACGACGGCTGCCTCAGCGGGAGCGTGGACGGCGAGTTAGCGTGGGACGTCCGCGGCGACCACACCAAGACGCTCACGGTGTCCTCTGCCATTCAGTTTCCGGCCGAGACGAGGACGCTTGTGCTTAAGTAATTCTTTTTTTTTTTTTAGCTTTTTGGTTATTTGTATGTGTGTGTGTGTGTGTAGGTTTGGGTGTGTTTGTGTGTGTGTTTTTATATGTAAGTGTGCATGTATGTATTTGTACATATGTATGAGCGCACACGTGCTCATACGTATGTATATTCCTGTACCAAATACCACATAGCCACACATAAAACCAGTCCACATAATAAGCACCTAAAACAAGGGCACAGAATACTGACCGGGCTGATCCTCCTGCCAGGGGCGCGGTGACAGTCCTGACGTGGACGTGGAAGACGGAGCTGCAGGTGGAGTTCGGCAACGAGATTGGGGATAACCACCGCGTCACCTTCGCCCTCACTTTGCCGGACGAGTCGAGGTTAATGTCACTCTAAGCAAGGTCGATTAATGTCACTTGATTGAGGTGTTTTAAGGTCACTGATTCGAGGTTGCTTAATGTTGCTGAATCTGGGTCGTTTCATTTCACTAAGTTAAGGTCGATGAGTGTCACTAAATCAAGGTTATTTCATCTCACTAAATCAAGGTTATTTCATCTCACTAAATCAAGGTTATTTCATCTCACTAAATCAAGGTTATTTCATCTCACTAAATCAAGGTTATTTCATCTCACTAAATCAAGGTTATTTCATCTCACTAAATCAAGGTTATTTCATCTCACTAAATCAAGGTTACATCATGTCACTAAATCGGGGTCACTTAATGTCATTTAATACCCTCGGCATTGTTAAGCACCTTCTTAAGCTTTATTCAATTTTTACCTCTTTTTTCTCTTTATTTCCCCGGTGATATGTCTGTATAATGTTGCTTGACCTTTATCTCCTTTTGCAGGTTAGAGGCCGGGTCACAGCTCATCTTCTCCTTAGGGAACGATGACCTGGCTCTCGGTATGACCTTTGACCTGCGACTACCATCTGGAACCTTTCATAATGTGAGTATTTTTCCCCCTGCATCGTTTGAAAAGTTAATTAAGAATAATCAATCTTGTACCTTTTCTTAAATTGATTTAGTCATTAGTTGTTTTTCATATTTCGTTTCGTGTTGTACTTATCTTAAAGCATTGATTGACTATTTAATTTTGTCAATATCTATTCTCCTCGTTTTATATTTGTAGATTCTCCTTCGCTATTTATTTACTCTTCCTTTGTCATTGTTGTAACTTCTTGTTTACTGCACTGCTCTGTTTTTACATTTTATTTACATTAATTTAGAAATCTTGCATTTAACTTATAAAAAACTGTATTTAGCGATGATTTTATATGTATTCACTGATGTTTTTATGTTTCGCTTACTTTCGAAATCTGTATTCATTAACGACTTTATGTTCCGTTTTCTTTTTACAAATATTACTCACTTCCATTACCTCCCCGTCCTCAGGT